TATAAGTCTTGGCATTCAGACTTGTTTGTCTACCATACACCAGGACCAGTCCCCCACTCGCCAATGTGCCACCTTGATACTACATAGCATTGTTCTCGACTTCCGGGACCCGCCCCTCTTGCTTGCCTTTAGAACCCCTGGACGACCCGGCCGGTCCAGTCGTCGGGCCCGGTCAGGTTCCCGGCCCATCTCCGACTCCAGGTCGAAATATACCTCCCACCTCCCCCAAAAAACCCACTTCACCCCCGAGATCCGAGACCCGAGACCTTAAATATTGTCAGATCCGTCCGTAGATTGCCTTTATTTTGGAGCCATACCAAGCCGACCCGGCGCATAGCCGTCTCTGGCAGAGGTCGCACACCCTCAGCTCCTTCCTGGCGCCGGACTTGACGAGTGCGGAGCAGTGCCTGGGGTTAATCCCGCCCTTGGCACAGGTATCTCTGATCTCATGGCCCCAGTGGCCGCAGTCATACTGGATGTTCTCGGCGGAGCACATGGTCGATATTCCCCCCCCTTTGTTTCCCCCTCTTCTCCGCTTCACCCCTCAGTTTTCGCCGGGGAGTATCTTGGTGCTCTCATCGGTTACCAAGCTTCGCTATCGAGGTCGGTGGCTTTTAGGACGGGAAGATGATCGTCATCAGAGTTAAATCGGCCCGCTGACGTTCTCCTTTTTCATGCCCGGTTAGACGAGAAGCAGGATGCCCCACGAGTCTCCAGGACCGCCTCGGGATATATGCGATAACGGGTGTAAGTAAAGCCTAGGATATGGGAAGAGCTGCGGAGGTTGCGCGAACCTGAGGCTTGCGAGCCCGGCACTGGTATGCCACCATTGAAGTCCACAACGGCGAAGCTGCCCAGCTTTCTATAGATTCGCCGGATGCTATTCTATCACTTCCAAAGTAACTCCGCCCATACACAGGATAGGCCCAATGAAGAATTTACGTCTCGCTCCCAGCGCTTCTCGGAACGTATAGTTGTGGGGCCCCCATTCCCCCTTTGACTGTTTCGTTGTTTCTGAAAACAGCCACGGCCCCAGGAACAAAGGGAAGGTCTCGTCGGCCTATTATTAGGGCGGCGCCTACCCAGAAACCAGACGGAATTGGCATGGGAGTTGGCTCATTGTGTCTTGACGTACCTGAAATAGACATACTCCTTCCGTCGATCCCGTCCTTCCTCAAGATGCGCAAGCTAGGTATTATGCCGGGGAAGGGGTCTTTCCGAACAAAGCCATCCATCCCAACATTTTATTCGATGAAACAACTACGGGGAGGTTCGGGGAGCCTTGGGGGAATAAAGTCGGCGTAGATGGTGACTGGGAGGGCTGAAATGATATTTACCACATGGTATGAGCTCGTCTCGAATGGGTAATTCGAGAAGACAGGCTCCAGCTCTCGGGGAATACAGAAAAATGCGTGCACAGTTTGTGATATCAGAGATGTCATATTTATGCTCTGTCGGCCATCCCCGAGTTGCCTCGCCCCTGCCCCCGTCGGGACAAGTTCTCCAGCAATTAATCGCCTGAGTCCAAGCGATGGAGTGGCAGTTGCCATGGGCGAAATTCGTGAGTGGCATGAGGTTGGGAAGAGACCATGCCCCAGGGAAAGAGCGATTCTTGCATGTGGCAGTCATCTCATGCCAAGCGACCAGGAAGGTACGGAGTACCAGGTGGAAGGCTACTCTTTCCTCCTGGTAGAGGTTGAAAGGGGGCATACAGGATCCGACCTGGTATGTCAACCACTTCCTTCCCCTGTTCACGCATTTGCCTGTTGCGCCTGCCACGGCCAGAACGAAGGCTTCCTAGCATGGAAAGCGCGAGACATGCTTGCTTCGCCTACTACAGGAGCCACCGAAGAGAGCTGGAAGCCTACTTCTAATGTTATATGGGCTTGTCAACTATCTTCAATCTCTGGGTCTCCGTTCCTCATCCACACACACACACACACGCACAGCCACGCACTCCTCGAACACCCGCATCCAACGAATATTATCACTTAGAGCCAGTTTATATCCTTCTACATTTACAGATATCATTCATTCCAAATTCTCCTTTTCAGCAAACCATTCCACCAACAAGTCAATCTCCTTGGAGCCTTCCACATCATGTCGGACTTTACCTCCAAGATCAAGTGTGCCGTCGACAAGGCTACATCTGTTGCCCGGAACATGGCACAGGACGCTACCGACATGAAGGACAAGCCGGAAGATAGCCACGTTAATGTTGATGATGTTGAAGACGGGTTCTTCGAGATGCAACCAGAGGAGCACCAGTGCGACGAACGTTGTGACTCGAGCGACAAACGTTACGGCCCGAACGATGAACCTTATGACCCGATCAATAGCCGTTACGACTCAAAGGAAGAACGCTTCGACTCGAATGCCGACCGCTTTGCTGCCGCTTCCGAATTTGACATGTCGCCTGTCTCCCAAGAGTCGCAGGTATGTTTACATCCTCCAAGGCGTAAGAGACCGCGAACTTTTGGAAAGTTGGACTAACACTATACCCACTTAGAAGCTTGCGGGTAGCATGGAAAAAGAGCTTATGGACTCAGACATGAGGGAACAAGGAACCCATAGCCGTGACCAGGAAGCGATGGGGGGGGCCAATCTGCCAACTTCCCAATACATGCCGGACTCTCCTAGTGCCGGGAAGCGGTCGTAGATACCATTCAGTATTTGGCAAGGAGAAACTCCGGGAATGCACCAGATGTGATGGGCGATGGGTGTATAGTTTGATTTCCAGTTCCCGGGGCTCTCGGAGACTTGGAGCTTGTGATGTCCTGCAGGACGGACGGATGGAATGGTGACTAGGAAATCGAGGCCTCCTATAGAACCAATATATGCGAGTATACCTACCAAATAAGTACCATCCCAACCTGCCTCCCTATTGTGTAGAGGCCATATATGTATGTTGGTATTAGGGGTGGTCATCTCAGACCTTTCCTACTTTCCGGTTCAGTTCAAGAAATAAAGCTCGAGTCAAACTCCAGACCAAACAGCACGACACCAGGCCCGAAAAAAAAAACACAACGCCCTTTCCATTTCCCTTTCCATATCCCTATCCCTACCCTATCCCTATCCCTATCCCTATCCCTTTCCCTTTCCACCCTATACAGTTCAGTCAATGATAGTCTCGTACCTCCTCCTCCGATTCTCCTCGTACTTGGCCCTCTGTCTATGTCTCCTCGTCCACCAAACACACACGCCAGCTGCGATGAGGATGGGAATTCCAAGACCGACGCATACAGCGGCTATAATAGCATTCGTCCCGGGGCCGCTGGATTTGGAGACCTTCTTTTCTTCTGTAGGGGTGGGGGCGGGGCCCGGTGGCTGGTCTGTTGTTAGCCATCTTGCCCTATCCAGGGTTCAGGGACGGGGGCTTGAAGTGGAGGATCTCCAGAACGGGTAAGTAGCTTGGGAGGGAGGACTCTTCGGAGGGGTCCTTTGTTATACGATTAGGGGGGACTTACTCTCGGGCTATTCTTGGGAGGGGGTTCACTGGATGAGGGAGCGATGGAGAAGAGGGGGGACTTGGCGGTGGCGGAGGAGGTCGACTGGTTGGAGGATGTCGAATGGTTGGAAGGGCGGAGGGGGACGAGCTCAAGTTCGTAGTGGGCGGTTGGGATGTAGGGGAGAGGATAGGGGATGTCGGACCAGGTGAAGGATGAGGTTGAGAGGTTTGCTGCCCGGTGTTAGCAGACGTATCCAGCGAGCCCCGAATGTACGCGGTGTTTCCCTGCGGATGGATGGCTTGGCATGCTGCGGACGCGGAAGTGGAGGATTGGGTGTGATCCCTGGCCCAAATGCTCCGTCTGATCTAGCTTACGACCAGTCACAAAGGGGGCGAACACGATGCCGGCCCTGGAGTGTGTTGTGGGGGAGGGCAAGGGTAAAGATGTATACTCACTCGTGAGGTTCGCCTGGAATGATGTAATGCCCACCTCCGTCGTGTTGAAGACACGTCCAGAGATATAGAACGGCAGCGCCTCGGCCGGCAACCTCTCCCACGTCAACTCTAGTTTCCCTCCCTCCACGACCCCCTCGAACGGCGTGATGAACTCGGATAGGCCCACGGGGAGTAGGCAGGAGGTGATGAGTAGGAGGAGTTTAGCAGCGCGTGTCGCCATGGTTTATTTCTTGGCGTCGGGGCTTGGGCGAATGAGTGTTGGATACCAGGGCTCGCAAGATAACTATAAAGGCGGCTTGTTCGGTAGGCGGCTGCTTCTTTCTTGTATCAGGGGACGAGATGAGGTGGCAGTCCGCTTGGGATGAGACTTTTTTACGTTCCCATCTTTCGTTCTTCTCTTCTTCTCTCTGTTTGTTCGCAAGCACCAGTCTCGTTATCAGGAAATCACGACAGAAAGATCGGAAACCCGGCCACGGGGGAGGGAATGAGCGTGAGAAATGGAGCGGGATAGACGCGGGAATGGAAAGCAAGTAATTGGGGGAATGATATTGATAACGGAACGACCTTGTTTTCCCACCTTTCCACCATTTCCCTGCTTTCCCTCTTCCCCCTTCTATCCTCCGCTCCCATCACAATATATTTTCCGCTGCCCGCGGACGACCGTTCCCTTTCCCGGCGTTGGCTCGGTTGGGTTAATATCGATACGTGATATATAGCGAGAGGCGGCTAAACGGGGTGGGTGTGTGGTTGGTGGTCGATGGTAGGTGGGTTAAAAACAGGCATGGGGCGGATCCCGCTCGCTCACCGTAAAATATAGGAGACCAAGCACTCTATATATAGTGATATCCCCCCCTTTTCCTCTCCCTTTCACCTCTTTGCTACCGAGCCGGGGCGGCCGCGGTGTCTACTTCTGGCGTGAGGATGAGGGACACCGAGCAGGTCTTGACCGAAGCCTGGGTAGACATCTCTAAGTTGCCCTGGCTGAATCTTGGCTTGATCTATTATTACACCACATGTAGCCGCTGGTGCTTGGCCACATGGATAGATACATAATGCTCGGGCACACAGGACAGGCAAGAAATATCCAACAAAGGACGGTCTAGTGGCCCAATGGCAAGGCGTTTGACTACGAATCAAAAGATTGCAGGTTCGATCCCTGCCTAGATCACTCCTCATATTTTTTGCCCGTATTCTTCACTTCTTGAGAAGTTCTTCTTTTTGGTCCGTTCTCTTAGTTCGAATTTTTGGGGTGGCGATTTTTATTACCCCACCATTCTTATCGTCCGCACGTGGATGCGGCCCGTCCTGTTCTGTTTTCTTGGCATTTCATGGCCGTACTCGGCGGCTCCTCTAGTAATACAAGCGGTATCCTGCCTTCTTTCATCAGCCTCTGTTTCCCGTTGGCTCTGTATCATGGCGTGATATTTCTATACACAGGTACGAGTAAGGACTACTGCCAAAGGGGGGTGGGAGGGGTTATCATGGCTGGTCAGAGCCACGACATACGACATGGAAATGAGAGCATGTGTTGATTCATATAATGCATGAGTGGAGAATTAGACCATTCTTGAAGAGAACTTCCAGCCTATTGAACCTCCCGTCCTCCGTATCAAGTGCCTGTCCACAAACTCCGCAGTACTGACATGTAAAAACACTATGGCCCAGCATACTCATATTCCATGGCCAATACGCCTTGGGTCCACGCTCTAGCCCCCCCTGGAATGGGGCTGGGAGTGAAGAAGTTATCAAATTATACACAGGTGCGATATGCACGAGACCCTCCCCCAGCTAAACATCCTCCACCTCACTCCCGAGCACCTAACCCTATGCCTCCTCGCAATACGGGCCAAATGCTTAGTGCTGGCTCCACTCGATAGTGTTCAGGTCAATACCCTCCTGCACGAGCTCCCACAGCGGGCTAATGTCCCGCAGGTGCTGGACCCTGGCCTTGACCGCAGCAAGCACGTAGTCGATCTCCTCCACGGTGGTGAACCGGCCGATGCCGAAGCGGATACTGCTATGGGCGCTCTCGTCGCTGCTGCCCAGGGCACGAAGGACGTAGCTGGGCTCCAGAGACGCCGAGGTGCAGGCGCTTCCCGAAGACAGGGCGATGTCCTTGAGGGCCATGAGGAGCGACTCGCCCTCGACATAGGCGAACGACACGTTGACGCAGCCAGGGTAGAAGTGCTCGGGGTGTCCGTTCTGCGAAGTGTGTTCCATGGCGAGGAGGCCGTTGAGGAGTCGGTCGGACAGGAACTTTATGCGCTTCGTGTCGTACTATTCCCGGTTTTGCGGTTAGCATATCACCCACTGAAGTAGTGGAAGAACAAAAGGGGGGGAGGGGGAGAGGGGGAGGTGAGTGTGTAGTCGAATCTGAGGAAGTGTGTGCATCTTACCTCCATCTCTTCCTTGGAAATGCGGCAGGCTTCCCCAAATCCAACGGCGAGCGAGGGGGCAAGCGTGCCGCTCCTCAAACCACGCTCCTGCCCACCGCCAGTGATGAGGGGGTCCAACCTGACCCTCGGGCGCCTTCGGACGTAGCAGGCACCCATACCCTTGGGGCCGTAGACCTTGTGCGACGAGATGGACATCAGGTCAATGTTCATGGCGTTGACGTCAATGGGAATCTTCCCGACCGCCTGGGCAGCATCGGTGTGGAAGAACACCTTGTGCTTCCTGCAAAGCTTCCCAATCTCCTCGAGGGGCTGGATGACACCGATCTCGTTGTTCACGGCCATGATGCTGACCAGGCAGGTCTCGGGGCGGATGGCCGCCTCCAAGTCCTCCATCCTGATCAGGCCCGAGGGCTGCACGGGGAGGTAGGTGACCTCGATCCCCTCGTCCTGGAGATGCCTGCAGCTGTCGAGCACGCACTTGTGCTCGGTCTGGGTCGTGATGATGTGGTTCTTCTTCCCCGACTTCTTGAAGAACCTCGCGACGCCCTTGATGCTCATGTTGTTGCTCTCCGTGGCGCCGCTCGTGAAGATGATCTCCTTCGGGTCAGCCCCGACAAGGTTCGCGACGTGCTCGCGGGCGGCTTCGACCGCCTTTTCACTGTCCCAGCCGTAGGCGTGCGTCCGCGAATGGGGATTGCCGTACTCGCCCACGTAGAAGGGCATCATCGCGTCCAGGACCCGAGGGTCGACCGGAGTCGTCGCTTGCATATCGAGATAAATCGGGCGGAGCCCTTCTTCTAATATCGTAGCATCCTTGATAACGTCTGTGGTGTCATGGGAGCGCTGGTTAGAGGGATATAGGCCATGGCAAGGATATGGGGACTGGCTCGGGGCGGCGCACCTGAGATGGGAGACCCCGAAGGGCTTTGCGCTGGCAGCGAAGACACGAGCCGAGACTTCAACGGGGCGTCGCCTAGTACTTGGGCATCGTCCCTCTTAGACTCGGAGACGTATCCACGCCTTGATATGGATGGAAGGGCCGGAGTGGCGATTCTGGATGTCGCGGTTCGCAGTGACGGGACGGTCGAGCGCGTGCGTAGGTGTCGGCCTGCCTGCCTCAGCGCAGCTGATGAAAGACTCGCCATTATTGTGTTGCACAGAGTGCCACGGAGAAAAAAAAAATGATGGGTTGGGAGGGAAGGGATTGGGAGTGGTTTTTTTTTCTTCGTTCGGACGCTTGGATTTTTTGATGCGGTTCGGCCTTGCTCTCTCACTGAGTGAGCTCCTATCCCCGATTGATTACCAGAAAGGATGGTACGGAGTACGGCGGGCGGCATCGGAGATTGAATATGATTGGTCCGCAAAGCCGTTTCCTGGAGAATCTGCCCCATGTGTAGACTGACGTAAGGAATTGGAGGTCTTGTACTATTGTCCCTCACCGGCCTCGCCACAATGTGGGGGGGTGTCTAAGCTCGGCGATAGCGGAGGTGATTAAGCGAGTGGCCGCGAGTTCCGGGTGTGTAATACGGCCCATTTGAGAGCTCCAGCTGGCACCACGCAGCGCCCTGGACGAGGATTGCCAGGAATGCTACCCACTTTTGGAGCTACCATTTGGATATTGCATGTGAGGGCTGAACTAGCCCCACGTCAGCCACAATAGTCCATAGTAGGTCGGTATTACCTACCCTGCCTTTCACGCCAACACCGCCACATTCTCGTCGTCATGCTTCGGATGCCAAGACTGCCCCCCATCGTCACTAAAATGCAGCCAAGTTCCTTACCTTTCTGGTCTTTCTTCCCACTCTTAATGTGATTGATACTCGAGACTTTGAGATTGTGAAAGCGGCGGACGATACCACATTGCCAAAAGCATAATATTCCCAGGTGGCTTCCTGCGCCACTCCCAGAATGAGTTTCAAAGGCTTTCAGAAGAGCGTCGTTCGGGTAAGCATCCCCGCCCAGATTAAGAAGCTCCTGGAAGGGAAGGGAAAAACGGCCTTTCAGCACGCTTCCCTTCGGATCCCTCGGCGCCTCTCATATTCTGCGCGAAAGCTACTGACATTACCGTCTTCCGCATCCAGGCGCCTCAAACATTCAAGCACAAGTTCAACATCGGCGAGCACACCAAAGATGCCGTCTACATCGACGCCGAACTTCGGTTCCAACAGCTCGAGAAGGAGACGAAGAAGCTACACGACGAGAGCCAGAAGTACTTCCAGGCCATAAACAACATGCTCAGCAGCCAGATGGAGTTTAGCAAGGCCATGACGGAGATCTACAAGCCCATATCAGGCCGCATGTCCGACCCGGACACCCTGAAGATCGAGGGCAACCCGGAAGGCATCCGCGCCTGCGAGGAGTACGAGACCATCGTCAAGGACCTGCAGGAGACGCTCGCACCCGAGCTGGAGATGATCGATACCAGGGTCATCCGCCCCGCCAACGAGCTCCTCGACGTGATAAACGTGATCCGCAAGTCAGCTGTTAAGCGCGAGCACAAGAAGCTGGACTACGACCGCCACCGCCAGACGCTGAAGAAGCTACAAGACAAGAAGGACCGCAGCGCCAAGGACGAGAAGGCGATGTGGAAGGCCGAGAACGACGTGGAGCTTTCGACGCAGGAGTTCAACTACTTCAACGACCTGCTCAAGGACGAGCTGCCGAAGCTCTTTGCGCTCGAGCGCGAGTTCATCCAACCCCTATTCCAGTCCTTCTACTACATGCAGCTCAACATCTTCTACACTCTGCACATCCGGATGCAGGAGTGTGACATTGGCTACTTCGACCTCACACTCGACGTCGTGGAGGCCTTTGAGAAGAAGCGCGGGGACACCAAGGAGCGGGCCGAGGCCCTCTCCATCTGCAAGTTCAAGACCACGGGCCAGAAGCGGCCGCCAAAGTACGCCGGGAGGCCCGGCCTCGACAAGGAGAAGCTGGCGATAGAGGACGGGAAGTCGCCCTCACCCCCCGCGATAACGGCGGGGTCGGCTGGCGTGGCGTCCCGCTTCGGGCAAGGCCGTCAGTCCGACGTCGTCGAGAACCCTCCTCCGCCGTACTCGCCCCCTGCCAATGGCAGCCTAGCAGCGATAGCAGCAGCCAAGGCGAAGCCGCCGCCGCCGAAGCCCAAGCCCAAGCGCCTCAGTGCCGCGCCGTCGCCAAACAACGCGGTGACGGTGACGGCTCTGTACGATTACGCGGCGCAGGCGGAGGGGGATCTGTCCTTCAAGGCTGGGGACGTGATTGAGATCATACGCAAGACGGCGAATGAGAATGAGTGGTGGTCGGGGAAGCTGAACGGGAAGACGGGAGAGTTCCCAGGTAAGAAGCAGTCCCCCCACGGTCTGGGGAGTCTGAGTGTGACTAACTGTTTTTGTTTCAGGGAACTACGTGAAGACGAATGACTAGGGGCGAAGCTCCCTCCGTCCGAATCCCTCAATGGTTGACGGTGCATAGTGAAGGGAGCGAGGGTTCAGGATAGCGATTAGGGAGTTATACCAGAGGCGTTAGTTAACTGCGGGGGTTCTCCTGATTTCAGGGGTGGTGGGAAGGCGAGTCGGGAGAAGCGGTTTTGCATTTTGGAGACGGAAGGGGGTTTCGGCTGGTAATCATATATATACGCGAGAGGGAGGTACTATCATGGTAGGACACGCACCGGCAAGGACAAAATATAGACAGGCAAAGCAGACTGGTGGGGTTGAGGCTTGGAGAAACAGGATAAGCCCACGCAACTTTGGTCATTTCTTCTTCTCCACCGCCCCTTTGAGACGTGGAC